TCAAGCACTGGGGTTGGGAATCATGGTCTCTCACCCATTCCTGAGGGCACAGAAATGGGTTCAGCCACACTGGAAATTGATGATAGCGATATCTGCTAAGATATAAAGTTTGCATTCCTTGTATCAAAGCAACTTCATTCTGGCATCCCCTCTGGAGAAATTCGATGCATTTCTTCAAGGAGTCATTGTAACAAAGATCATGGCTGCCTTGCTCATGTGGGTAAAGATAAAATATCACCTACATGTTCATCAAGAAGATGGTGATTACATGAAGGATGGTACTTTCATTCTATGGAATACTATGTAGCCATTTAAAAGAATTAATCTGGATTTACATGTATTAACATGGAAAGATCCCCAGGGTATGATTCTGAACAAACAAAGCACCTTGTATAATAGAGGGTATGTTCAATATAATGGTATTTCTGATAGAAACACAACACCCAAACATTATCCATTTGTCTAGGAACATATACATGTTTATAAGTGCAGAGAAAGGCTTTGGAAGGGTTAACATCCACATAGCCACAGTGCTTAGCTCCTGGAAGAAGTCAGGGGGTGGTGGAAGGCGGTGAAGAAGACATTTAGTTTGTAATTAATGAATGCTTTACTGTGAGAGTGTTTTCAAGAATAAATTGCTTAATTGTGTAATTAACATTAAATATTTCAGGATTCCTATAAGTATTTATATCTGCTGAATAACATCGGAAAATCTGTCACTTGTCTTCAATGTTAAGTAGGCTTTGTATCTGTACAAGTATACAATTACTTCTCTTTACAAAGTTATTAGAAAATCATTCCATTTGTCAAAAGCACTCATTGTTCATCTGATCGTTAAAAAGAAAGACAGTTTCTCTGTATCCAACCACAAACACACACGCACATGTGTGCACACACACAGAGACACCATAACTCATCCTGGGGACAGCAATTTCCACCCTATGCCACACTGTGCTACCACCTCAGGATGTCTGAACCACATGCAAGCAGGCCTTTCTGATTAGCTGATAACTTAGTTTCCAGGCTTCTGTGCCATCTGATTGTCAACTCATAATTCTAGAGCGGCTAAAACCAACAGACACCTGACTTGGTGGTGATGCCTGGGTCTGTGGGTGTAGCCTGACAGCCAGGCAGCTGGTTTCCTGAACCCAAACCACATAGCTTTCTGTGTGCCCTCATGAGCACCTTGTAATATGCTACTCTGCCCCTCCTGCCAGGCTGGGCTTGAAAGCGAGCACTGGAGAGACAATGGGGTGCCTGGAAGGTTGCTGGTCTGCAGAAATCATTTCAAGAAACATCTTCATTACAACTTTCTAGTTTATACCCCTCGTTTAATGAGGAAGTGTTGTATGACAAGAAGACATGGAGAGCTGGAGGAAAATGCAAAAGCAGATATCACGGGAACTCAAGTACTTTTGTTAACATAACTACTCTCTCTCCCTCCATGGGCAGACCCACTGGAGGAGCCAAATTACAATCCTGAGGGAAACAATTTTAAACCAGAGGATAGATAATGACATTGTCTTTCATCTTGGGTGTCATCTTGGATGTCCCTGATTTGGGGGTGACCTTTTCTCTCTGGACCAGACATGCCTGAATTTCTTTCATTTCAGTAAGATGGGGATCTTAGGACTCAAAAAAGACAGAGACAAATCACTCCCTACCAAGGCCATGCCCAAGCATACTTATGCTCCTTCTTATTTGTGTCCCATCCCAGGCTAGGGAAGGCAGAACTCAGGGGCCCAGGGTAATATCCAACCATTAATTCGTTAAAATGTTGACCATGTTTTCTAAAGGAAATATAAAGAGCAAGCAAGCACGGCTTTAAGCAAGCATGACTGGAAGGCATGGCATCTTCTTTTTCCTGCTTCTAGGAAAGTCTTCATGAAATGAACGGTAAAAATGGATTGCAGCCGGGCGTGGTGGCTCATGCCTGTAATCCCAGCACTTCAGGAGGCCAAGGCAGGCAGATCACAAGGTCAAGAGATCGAGACCATCCTGGCAAACATGGTGACACTCCATTTCTACTAAAAATACAAGGATTAGCCAGTGTGGTGGCACATGCCTGTAGTCCCAGCTACTCAGGAGGCCGAGGCAGGAGAATTGCTTGAACCCAGGAGGCGGAGTTTGCAGTGAGCTGAGATAGCAACACTGCACTCCAGCCTGGCGGCAAAGCGAGACTCTATCCCCCCCCCAAAAAAGATTACATTTCTGCCTAGTCTAGCATCCCAAGGGTTTCCCATGACAAACATACAGCATCGGTAAGCTTGGATGCCTGTGCACCCCTCACGCAGCAAGACTGACCTTCCCAATGGCTTTTAAACATGGTCCTCCATCCCCAAGCAATGCCAGTGGTGATCTTCATGAGCTCATGCTCTGGCCATCCCTTCCTGCCTATGCACACACACTGTCTTTAGCTCTTCAGTCAGTGCCACATAAGACCTGCTAGACTGAGGGACGCTCTGCCTTTTCAGCAACTCTGTGTACCTCTGCTGTGGTCATTATGCGTGCATTTGATGGCAGACTTGGTGAGAATGCTCTTCAAAGTGGGGATCTTATTAAAATACAGATTCTGAGTCAGAAGGTCTGGGGTGGGCCTGAGTCTGCATGGCTAACAAGCTTTCAGGCAATACCCATGATGCTGGGCCAGGACCACACTTTGATGTCAGGGGAGAGTCTTATATCCACATTTGGGAGGTGTAGAGAGAAGGCCTGCCCCATGGTAGCCTTCTGAACAGAGAAGGACCATAAGGGCTTGATGAGACAATGTAGCAGAGAGCCTTATAAAGTATGATGTGTGGGGAAAATATTGGCTGTTGTTATGACTTTCTATCATGTAAATGATATACTTGCTTTGGAATCAGAAAGAGCTGGGTTTACCCCCTACTTTACTAACTGAGAATTTGAGCAAGTCACTCAATCTTGTTAACCCTCACTTTTCTTAGCTATAAAATGAGAGGCTATTACTTAAAACTGTATTTGCAGATGTTGACTCAATATATATTTACATATTCATTTTTCTCTCTGTTGACCTAAATGAAAAAACTTTACATGTGTGTATGTGAGTAACTTGCTGAACATTTCTGCTAAATGATGAGAATCTAGAGCCAGAATTTGGCTAAAATTCCACTCTAAAACTATTTAATCAAACAGCTTTGTTAAGAGTCACCTGTTAAACTTCTCATCAGGGAACCCAGAATGATTTATGGTTTGCTACCACAACTCTATGAAGCGAGTGGTTTCAATCAAGTTTCAGTTGCACAAGTTCAGTAGAAAGCTGGGGAAATCCACTTGAAAGAAAATTGTTGCCCTTAAACCCTTTTTATCACCAGAGCTATCCAGAGACAGAACGTGGACCCCATTCCAATGGGGCTGACATTTATCTTTGGCTAATGTAAATTTTCTTTGTTGTTGCCATTGTTTTGAGACAGGGTCTCGCTCCGTCATCCAGGCTAGAGTGCAGTGGTGCAATCGCAGCTCACTGCAGCCTTGACCTCCCGGGCTCAAGTGATCCTCCCACATCAGCCTCTCGAATAGCTGGGACTATAGGCATGCACCACTGTGCCTGGCTAATTTTTTGATATTCTGTAGAGATGAGAGCTCACTATGTTACCCAGACTGGTCTTGAATTCCTGGGCTCAAGGAATCCTCTCACTTCCTCCTCCCAAAGTGCTGGGATTACAGGCATGAGCCACAGTGCCCAGCCTAAGATGAGTTTTCTAAAGAAGTTCTAAATAGTAACAATATAAACTTCCAGTATTGCCATTTAATTCCAACTCACCCCAAAGATTCTTCAAGCAAGGTTGATGGATGCGTTCAGACTAGCAGGTGCAAGAAAAAAAAACTTGAATTGGGAATTTGGCAGGAGCCAAGGACAGTTCTGGCACAAGAATGGCCCAGAAGGGCACATCATTACAAGTTTTCTCTGCCTAGCATTGTCATAAGCAGTTTTTACACCACATTTTAAAATTTTAACAACACCTTGGGAGGAAGATATTCCTCCCATTTTACCAAAGGGGAAACTGAAACAAAGCGAAGGCAATTAATACATGAATTTAAAAGATAAAAATTGTAACTATCTTTTGGGGTTTTTTTGAGATTGAGTCTTGCTCTGTCACCCAGGCTGGAGTGCAGTGGGGCAATCTCAGCTCACTGCAACCTCCGCCTCCCAGGTTCAAGTGATTCTCCTGCTTCAGCCTCCTAAATAGCTGGGATTACAGGCATGTACCACTACATGGTAATTTTTTTATTTTTAGTAAAGATGGGGTTTGCCATGTTGGCCAGGCTATTCTCAAACTCCTGAACTCAAGTGATCCGCCTACCTCAGCCTCCCAAACTGCTGGGATTACAGGCGAGAGCCACTTCACCCAGCCACAGCTATCTTATTTTTAGCTGCACGGTGTAAAACCGAATTTTTTTGTTTTTGTTTTTGTTTGTTTGTTTTTTAATGAGATGGAGTCTAGCTCTGTTAGCCCAGGCTGGAGTGCAGTGGCACAATCTTGGCTCACTGCAACCTCTGCCTCCCGGGTCCCAGTTCAAGCAATTCTCCTACCTCAGCCTCCCAAGTAGCTGGGATTACAGGCACCCAACACCAAGCCCAGCCAATTTTTGTATTTTTTAGTAGAGACGGGGTTTCACCATGTTGGCCAGTCTGGTCTTGAACTCCTGAGCTTGTGATTCACCAGCCTCAGCCTCCCAAAGTGCTGGGATTACAGGCGTGAGCCACCTCAACCGGCCAACCAAATTGTTAACCTACCTAATTGGATCCATTAAATATTGTGGAATAGCCCCCATGGTGAATACAAGTCTTCTGTGGTATACACAAAGCTGAATATTACAGAACTATTGGTTATATTGGAAGACTCTAAACAACCCAAGTCTAAAACCAATTACTGTAGATCCAGACAGTGGAAGGGTATGAAGTCACTCGTATATTTTCAAAGAACTTTTGGTGGCTGAAAAAGCCCTCATAATATATGAAATGAAGAGGGTAGGGTATTTTACACATTCATTTATTTATCCAAACTTAGTTATCCCACATTTGCTTTTCCAGCCATAATTCTGTGAACACAGCTGTTGAATCAGGCAGGCTTGCCCTCATAGAGCTGACAGCATGGTGGACATGAAGCTTTCCTGGGAGAAGAAGCCCCAAAATGTTAACAGTTTTCTTTTCAAATAGTAGGGGTTTTTAATTTTTTTGTCTTCATGTTTATGTTATTTCAAAATATTCTATATTAAGCATGTATTACTTTTTTATAGATTTGCTGAGTTATGATTTAGCACACAATAAACTACACGTTTAAAGTATGCAATTGGATAAATCTTGCTAAGTACACACGGGAGACATCATTACTACAATGAAGGCACTGGACATATCTATCACCCCAAAAGTGACCTTGAACCCACTGTTATTCCTTCCTCCCACCTCCCCCTCTCCTCACCACATTCAACCACTGATCTGCTTTCTGTCACTATAGTTTGGTTTGCATTTCTAGAATTTTATTTCTAGAATTGAAATACCTAAAAAATACTCTTTTGTCTGGCTTCTTTCACTCAGCATCATTTTGAGATGTATTCACGTTGTTGTGTGTACCAATAGTTGTTCCCTATTACTGTGGAATAGTATTCAATTATGTGGCCTATACCAGTTTGTTATCCATTCATTGGTTTGTAGACATTTTGGTTGCCTCTGATTTTTGGTTATTACAGAAAATGCTGTTATACATGCTCAAGTATTTATATGAACATATATTTTTTTCTTTCTTGGGTAAACACCTAGGAGTGAAATGGCTGGGTCATGTGATAAATCTCTGTTTAATTTTTTGAGGAACTGTCAAACTGTTTTTGAATGACTGTATACACTTCTACCAGGAGTGATGAATTCATCATTCCCTCTCTTTTAAAATTACATGAGAAATAAATGAATACCTTCTGTTGTAAAAAGAAAATCCAAAAGCTTCAGAAATATATAGAGTAAGAAAAGTGAACATTCCCTTTTATTCCATTCCTTTCCTAGTTCCTCATACATATTTATCACTAAAAGTTTGGTGTGTGTTCATCTTTTCTTTGCTAGAGTGTGTGCATGTGTGTCCACATGCACGTGTTTGCATGTGGAAGCATGTATGTGTGTGTGAGATTCTGTGAGCTCTGTTGTTGTAACTCTGGCTTCACTCACTGAATAATGAAGCTTGAAGGTCATTCTTCATCAGTACATGTAGACCTCAGTCTTTTGAATTGTTGCTGAGTATCCTTCTTCAATAAGCAGGGGGAGAGGTGTTTTTCAACGTGGTTGGAATTCTATTTACCCTTCCTCTGAAAGAGGCAGGTCTCTTCAACATTTTCTATTCATGTGACCATTGGAGAAGCTCCTTCTTCTCTGCACGAAAGGCTGCCTGTCAGGAAGGATTGCACTTCTTTCGGTGGATCTGGATCTCCTGGGAGCTGCACAGGCGTGGTTACCTTTCTGGAGAGTGAAAGAACAGTCAGAGGAAATGTAATGGATGGCTACAAGGTGTGACAGCTCTGCCGTCACACTAGGTTTATGCTTGCCTCACATTCCTCAGAGCAGAATTGCCTTTCAAGGCCCACCATTTATTCTTGTACTTGGTGGTGAGGAAGCTCACTTTAAGTGTAGTCATTCTGAGAAGGGCAAAAGGGCTTCAACTCTTCACCTTTCAGCTTTGGAAATGAGTAAAATTGTGAGTCTCTTTTTAACATATCAGAAAATTTACCACATTGGCTGAGTGTGGTGAGAAAACCCACTCCCTTTTTTAAAACAGACAATAATGAAACCCATACTTGGTCAGCTAAACAGATTTTTACTCTCCTCATGTGTGTTTTTTTCTCTCTTATATTTTCTTTTAATAATTAATGATATTAGGACTACATTAAATGGTACCTCTTTATCTCTCTTTTGGCAATAATCTGGGGGCTAAATCATTGATACTTATTAATACATAAAATTAGGACTATATTATAATAAAGTTGCATATCCTGCACTGAACATTGCCATAAACATGTTTTCATGTCATTAAATATTAACCAAATATTAAATCCACATCTTAATCATTAATGACTTCATAATATTTGAGATATGGACATACCATAATTTATAACAGTTGCCCTGTGGTTGAAAGATTTTTACTAGTCAGTAAAGATTTTGAGTAGCAATAAGTGAAGAAAAGTTTTAAAAATTATTCATTATGACAAGTGGAAATTAGGTTCTAGTAGCAATATTAAAATTAAATCATGTATCACATCTTAAAATTTTGTTATCTTCCTATGATAACGCCTTCCTCATTATTTTGAACTAAATAGGCTACTCTTTTTAAATTTTTTACTCTCAGAATTTAATCTTTGGAAAATGTTTCATGACATTTTATATTAATTTTATAGTAATTTGTAATTACACATTACCTGCTAGTCTCTGAAAAGTGTGTTGGTTAAATGTCTACTTCGTTCAACCTTTCCACAGGGGGCTTGAACATCACAATCTGTCTCACACATGATGTCCAGCATTGTGTTCTGTTAGACATATCACGCATGACATTGCCCACAAAACTATCTCAAAATGCATTTCTTTAAAAAAGGACACTTTCCTGCTTAACAAGAAAAACTCTATCACACCTAAAATTAATAATCATTCTTTAAGATCATTTAATAGCCATTTATTATTCAGATTCACCAAATGTTTCCCTAAACATCCTTCCCAGCTTCTTTGTCCAAACCAGGAACAAGTCCTTGACCATACATTGCACCTAGCTGTTGTTCTCTCTCCATCTTTTAATCCAGCCGCCAGTGTCTTCGTGGGTAGCTTCTTATTGCAGCCGCTTGGCCAGTGGCCTATAGAGATCCCACCATGCTTGCCAGCGGTGTCATTTATCTTGTTTCTCTCTCCTTTGTATTTCCTGGAAGTTACATCTACATGTTGATTAGACCCAAGTTAAACATCTTTGGCTAGACTGCATCACAGGTGATACTGTGACATCAGAATTCATGACCCCAGGAGATATGAATAACTAACTGGTTGTCCCACTACTCCTGATACCAGGATCAGCCTTTAGATGAGTCTCATGATACTTTTCTCACTAGAAGCCAAAGCAGCCAGAACTGAGTTTGATTGTGCAATTCCGTTTTTCTCCTAAAGACCAGAATCACATCATCATATTGTTACTTTGGCACCATACAGATGTCCAAGTCCCATCAACCACTCCCCTAATGTCCCCAAGCACATGTTAACAGTCCTTGCCTGGATCTACGTTCTCATTAGGAATTGCAAGATTATGATTTTCTATCATCCCTCTACATTTAGCTGGCACTCTTCAAGCTTTATGTTGTCAACTAGAGCAATTTGCTTACCTTGAAAGATAGCTCCTACCTGAAGGACATTAGATGCACTTTTCTTTCAGTTGCATAATGTTGAAAGAAGACATTGGTACGAGCTGCCTCGAATGAGTTTCTTCTGGCATTCTTTTTTTTTTCAGGATCATTATGGACTCATTATCAACTCATGAATATACATTCAATGGGTATGTTTTAATTGAAATATTCTTGGGTCTCATAATACTATCACCAGAAGCCAAAGCAGCCAGAACTGAGTTTGATTTAAAACAGTTTCAAAACAAGAGTAGTTCCAAAGATAACATTCTGGAAAGAGCAAAGGCAAGATAATCTAATAAATTACTGTCATTATTATTTGTATGTGTGCTCCCTCCACATCTTCAAGATATGGGAGAATTCCAGGGGTGTGTCTGAGGAAAGGCAGCAAGCCGTGCGAGTTCCCTGTGCTGGTTGTCAGCGATGTTTCGGGTGCAACTGGCATAAACTCAGATCCAATGTCAAAAGCTAGTTGATCGGCGCATACTTTAAGATGCTTCCAAGACTCCAAAGCCATTACTTATTTTTTCTTACTTGCAGCAAGTAAGCTTTCTTTCTTTCCCACAAAACAGATTGTGGAACCAGGGGGTTCCTTCAGTAAGTCATTGTTTCCCTGAGAGGGCTGATGGAAGAAGTGCTGAAGAGAACCGTGTTGTAAAAACCACTCCTGAGGAGGATGAATGAAGGAAATCCCATCTCCTCCACACCCTGGACAGTCCGCAGGTTGCACTTTGATTTTGTCCTGTGTCATTCTTGGTCACTTCCCTGAGAAGCATATCTGTTTGAAGGGAAGCCACTGCATACCTTACCAGGTACATGGCCAAGGTGTGTTCCCCTCCAGCAGAGGCTGAAGGGCTTTTCTAGGCTAGTCTGTTCCTTCCTGGCTGATACAGATGGAGGATGCAGAGGCTACAATTAATTTGTAAGTTTCTTCAAAGGAAGAGCAACATACATAGAACCAATTCACAAAGATTTAAGATTCAATTTACCTCCCAAGAGCAGAGACTATGTCTGTTTTCCTCATCATTGTGATGCCAGAGCCTAAGATGGTGCCTGACATATATATCAGGTGCTAAATACACATTTGACAAACAGATAAACGAGCTGGACTACCAAAAACCTGTAGCTGGTCATATATGATTTTTTTCTCAGGAAAAATAAGCTTCATAAGAATGACAAAGATGAAGACCACCAGGTGGGGAATAAACTACTGTGACAACAACTCAGCACCTTAGGCAAGCCACTTTTTTGGATCTTGGTTTTCCATAGGACACATTCATAATAAATGATATAAATGTCCCTTATAGCTTTTGGCTTCTATAAATAGATTTCATTTTTAGGCAAGGGGTAAGTTCTTTTTATTCATTTACGCTTATTTATTTATTTATTTTGAGATAGAGTCTTGCTCTGTCACCCAGGCTGGAGCGCAGTGGTACGATCTCCGCTCAGTGCAACCTCCACTTCCCAGGTTCAAGCAATTCTCCTGCCTCAGGCTCCCAAGTAGCTGGGACTACAGGTGCACGATGCCAGCCAGGCTAATTTTTTGTATTTCAGTAGAGACAGGGTTTCACTGTGTTGCCCAGGCTGGTCGCAAGCTCCTGAGCTCAGGCACTCCGCCCGTCTTGGCCTGCCAAAGTGCTGGGATTACAGGCGTGAGCCACTGCACACAGCTAGTAAATTCTTCTAGTTAGTTACACGAAGAGATGTAAGTTCTGATGCCTAAGAAAGTGGTAGCATTCGTATCAGTTATGTGCTTCACTGCTAGTTTATGGTCTCAGTATGGTTATCTGTGATTTTTGCCCCTTGTGCTTGCAAATAAGCAGGCACAAGAATGCAAACACACGCGCACAGAGAGGCACACACACACACATGCATGCACATCTTTGCAAATATAATGCACCCATCGGCAAGGTCTGCTTACTCATAGGACTTCTTTTAAGCATTTCCCCGCCCCTCCTCAGCACACATTAGAGCTGTAGAAAATGGTTTTTATTGTAGGCTACCAACCAGTTAGAAAAACCTTTCAGGAATAAAGCAGGTATAAAGCTGGCTTCTGACTCAGAAAATACGCTCAACAAACCAAACAGCACGTCTGGGCTTCCTGGGGTTTTGCATTTTAATCACTGTTCTCAATTTTGCTCACAATCTCTTCTCTTTCAACATTAAAAATAAATCCTTTCTTGAACTTTTACCCTCTGAAGTTTTGATCTGGAAGGGAGTTTTTGGGTTTTTTTTTCCGTTTTGCTTATTTTCATTCTTTCAAAATAACTATAATACCCACAGGCAGTCTCTGTACTGATATTAGGCAGGCTTGGAATAAATGCCACTCCTGGGCCCTCTCTAGTGTCCATCCCTGCCTCTCCTAAGCACATCCATACAGGCCAGTGCACTTGGAGCCTGTGCTGAATAGGGATACTTCATTTTCCCTTATCTTCTCTCTAAAAATAGTCCTAAATAAAGGCCCAGGGAAAGATGCCCAAATGAGAGTCAAGCACAAACATGTCGGCAATGGACTAAATCAGAAGTCAGTGGGGAAATTTCAGCAGAAAATCTCCCCTAGCAGCAGAAAAAAATATGTGATATTAAAAATTGTGATGGGAAAAGATGAAAATGGTCAACGATTCCATACTTATTACCTAAACTCCTTGGGCTGGGTTTTCTTGCTGAGCCAGCGCTTTAGGAGACGAGGTGAGAATGCAACTTCTTCCTGCACTCCAAGGCTCCACCCGGAGCCTGTCCCGTCTTCATCATTCGTTTTTCAAGATGACTCTGCACATTTCATGTGCTCTGTCACATGGCGGCATCATACTGAAGCATAAGAGCCTGGCCTAATTATTTTGACAAAATCTGAATTAATAAGAGATTAATTTCAGGCAAAGGAAAAGTTTGCCTTCCAAAGGGAACGCCACAGTCATATTAGAAGAAAAGTAGATTTTTCACGTTTGCTGGTGTTACTATTTTCAGCAGTTACCAAAAAAAAAGCACTTGTAAGATAAATGTCCATCCACCATCTGAATTACCCTAGGATTCCAAAGTTCTTTCCTTTTCACTTCTGTTCTTCCTAACACACACACACACACACACACATTCTTGCACATGCCTATACACACATACACCCCTATATAGACTCAAAGGCACACCCTCTTCTCATGGCATAATTTCTCAACAAGAAAATTTCTTGCAAGTATACATTTTATTGATTGATTGATTGAGACAGAGTCTTGGCTCTGTCGACCAGGATGGAGTGTAACGGTGCAATCTCGGCTCACTGCAGCCTCTGCCTTCCAGGCTCAAACCATCCTCCCACCTCAGCCTCCCAAGAAATATACATTTTAAAATCTACACTAAGTCTTTCTTTTTCTCTCCCTTAAAATTACAATGGCTGGTCATCATACTGTGATCATTAGACACTATTAGAGTTGCATTCTATAATTAATACATAATTAATGCTATTCTATTTCAAATTTCTCAAATTCTTATTTTTCAAAAATGTATTGAATTTCATCTCAGTTCTGTACCTTATTAGGAATGCTATATACAGGCTGATCACTTGAGGTCAGGAGTTTGAGACCAGCCTGGCCAACATGGTGAAAGCCCATCTCTACTAAAAATACAAAAATTAGCCGAAGGTGGTGGTGGGAACCTGTAATCCCAGCTACTCGGGAGGCTGAGGAAGGAGAATTGCTTGAACCAGGGAGGAGGAGGTTTCAGTGAGCCAAGATCATGACACTGTATCCCAGCCTGGGTGACAGAGTGAGACTCTTGTCTCAAATAAATAAATAAATAAAAGCCATGTAATGTTTGTTCATTACTTTTTGTCATTTGAAAATGAGAAAACTACTCCATTGGTGTTTTTTGTTGGTGAAAGTACCAGCATAGGCCACGTGCAGTGGCTCACATCTGTAATCCCAGCCCTTTGGGAGGCCAAGGTAAGAGGATCAGTTGAGCCCAGAAGTTTGAAACTGGCGTGGGCAAAATAGCAAGACCCTGTCTCAACAACAACAACAAAATAGTCAGGTACCATGGCTCGTGCCTATAGTCCTAGCTACTTGGGAGGCTGAGGAAGGAGGATCACTTGAGACCAGGAGTTAGAGGCTGCAGGGAGCTATTACGGCGTTACTGCACTCAAGCCTGGGAGAATCAGATGTCCTTCTGGTAGATATGAACTGAGTAGAATATTTAGACCAGACTTTTAAATTCATTATTACATGAAAATTATCTCTGCATAATAAATTTTAAAAAACAGGAAGAGATTATTTCTGCCTCACATGTCGTATTACCAATGAGCACCGTCCAGAGAATAAAAATTTTGCATTTTGTTTTTAAATTATACTGTCAGAGCCATTTTTCTTTTACCTGTGAAATAATTTTTACAAGGACTGAAACTTCCAATTATGTCCCTATTTCTTGGAGACCGTCCTAGAGGCCAGTAAGTTCACAGTTAGTGCATTAATCACAGTAAATAAAATAAACTTCCTCTGAAAACCACAATTTACAACTATAAGTGAACAAACAACGACTTCTCATAACAAACATTTGCATCCTCAAGTTCAGGTCAACAATTCTTAGAATTATATTTTTAATATGACATTATAGGAAAACTCATTGCTCTTTTTAATACAGACTCAACTTTTTGGCAATAAGATACAAGTTCAAATTTAACAAAGTTCTCTATCTTTCCCTTTTAGATCTAAACAAAGGCACTTTCAAAACAGTTATGTCTATAACTTCTTATTTTCTCAAGATTTCCATTTTTAAAAACATTGAGGTTGCTCATTTTTTAGTTTATATAGCATA